AGTGCAAATTCTGGCTCTATTTGCCTAGATATCAAATGAGAGTAACATTTGATTGTTTTTTTTAAGTCAAATGACAATAATAACATATTCAATGAAATTCTACGAAGTAAGGTCTGAAAGAATAAAGTGTATGCAGACCTTACTACTACCTTATTAAGATAAAGAGACATGTATTTTTATTCAAGCATGACTAGTAGTAGTCTTATAGACTATAGTACTAGTGGACATGTGATATTGGTAGGACTAACTAGGTTACCATACTTGGCAAATTCTAAGAAAGCAATAAATTCAGTACATGCTTTAATTTCTGCTTTACCCCTCAAAAAAGGTGGAAAAAACAACCAAAAACTTGTCAAAATTATAAATCCTATTGCTAATGGTCCTGAGATAATTTTAGGAACCAAAACTTTGCCATTCAACAATTTCTTGATCACAATTTCTATTGTCAAAGCCACCCCATTAATGATAAAGAAGCATGTGACTTCTCCACTAGGCTTTAGTCTTCCAATGTTGTAGAAAATCAGCTCATGCATTAGCCCCGAGACGAAGAACGTCGCGATCACCGCAGGAAGTGGGGCCCACTTCCTCGAGATCTTGTCCGTCATCATCGACCGGACAGGAACGTAAACGGTCATATGGAGTAGTTTAGTTACCATGAGGTTCCACCTTTTACCCCAGAAATCTTGAAGCGAGCTAGTTTTGTAAGGCTCATCAAAGGGTGGCTCGAGCTCGACTTGACTTACGACTCGTACCATGGTGCTAACCATGGTCAAGATTATTTCTAGGGAGTAATAAATGTGGAAACAATATAAAAGGAGAATAATATTTGGATTTAAATGGGCTTTAAAGGTATACACCCATATCAAAATGGCTAGAAGTGCAATGTTGATAACAACATTTAAAGTTGATTTTGTACCCCTTTGAGTGGTATTAGTTGATGGTGTTTGAAACTTTATAGGCAAACAAGCCAATGGAATAAATGTTAAAAGTGAAAGAGGTGGGATTGATGACAAAGGGCCTTTACCAAAAGCAAAAAGAATTAGCTTGAAAGTGGCTAGCCATGCAATGAAAAAAGAAGTAATGGCACCAAGATTGATAGAAGTAAGATAAAGAGGAAGAATGAAAAATAGACAAACAATTGGAATTATAGCCACAAATCTTGATTTTCCATTTGGAAAGAATTTGACAATTGTGTGAGAATAACATAAACTTGTTAAGACAATAGTCCATATCACAATGAAATTGTGGATTTCCCCTTCCATTTCTTTGTTAATTTCTTCTACTTCTTGAAAGATGGCTTGAATTTAAAGATACCTTTTTTGTTTCTAATTAGAAAAAAATAATATGTTATGATTGTCAACATAGGGAGGCAAGGAATATTTTGATGTCACATAAGATTAGTCATCATATGGTTATTAATTAAGAAATATATACAATGAAACTTCTCTATAATCACATCATTTATTCAGATTTTTTTTATAGTTAATTATAGAAAACATATAATATAACATAATATGAAAATCGATTCTAAAGAAATCGTCATTGTTATGATAAAATGTTATTATAAAGAATGACACTTATAGAGAAGTCTGATTGTATTGCACAAGATCAAGACGATCAATGATGACGCCAAAAATTTTGACGAATAGTGTTCAAGACTTACACTATTTATATAAAAAATAATTTTAACCTATATAAGCAATAATATTTTTTTTATATATCTTCGATAAAGAATATTTAACTAATTACCGTTTAATCTATGTGACTTCGTCGCAAACAAGCATGTCATTATTGAGATTATTAAAATATCCAACTATACATAATCTCTTATATATCAAACAAGTCATGTATGTAACATATGTTATTAGTTTAAATGTCAAACATTTGAATCTAAAAAGTCCATGCTCTATTTATAACATCAGATCCCAGTTTTAAAGACTTGGAAAATAAAATATAAAGAATAATTGTTCAATTTGTTGTAAATAAATAAATAAGTTATGCTTTCAATTTTAAATTGGAACACTTGAAAATGAAAGGAATGGCACGAGATAGTCGTGGGTAGCACTAGCACCCCTCTTATATATATATATATATATATATATTCGATTTTTAAAAATTATTTAAAATTTACATACGGCTAGATTATTGTGATTTTTCTAAGAAATTAAAGCAATTTTAAATGACAATATCTTAGGTGGGAAATATCAAAAATTCATTTCATAATCACTAGCCCGAGCACAATTTTGATATTTCAATAAGATGACCAGTTTGATAGTGATTTCTTTTATTTAGTAAGGCAATGATTTCATTAGAGTTGCTTATAAAAATTCTCTTTTTCTCATTCACTCAAAAGGATGCGGACACACCAACACGAATTAGAGGTGAACCTTCTCTCCGGCCCCACTTCCATATGTCTTCTATATTCACCACACAACAAAATATGTTGTATCATAAATAGCAAAAAATGCTCTATTAATGTTTTTTTATTGGAATCATCTTGCAAGAAGAAAGAGATTGAAAGGAAGATTCACAATTTCGTTGTTGTATGGACTATTATATTGTATTAAATCGAGATCTTTCGATGCAAATTTAACTTTAGTAACATCGAGATGGAAAATTCTAGTAATTTCAACTATCAAAGGAAATATTGGTACAAATTTTTTTTGTTTAAGTCTATAAAATTTAATTTTTTTTTCAATTCTATGTTTATTAAAATGAGACAAACAAATTAAAACGGTCAACGAAATGTTATAAGCTTTGATGAACGTGACACTTGGGGCCAATATTCAAGAAAAGAGAGCGGACTCCAAATGTAGGTGAAGAACAGACTTCCAAATTTGACTAACATTGCTTTTATTACACACTGCTATTTGGACCCAACAAAAAAGTTCAAAAAATTTAATGGCAAGATAAAAAATACTTCATTTTTTAATTTGTTTGTCTGATTTTAATTTATCACAAAATACTTGTGATAAAGATTTCACAAGATTTCCATGATTAAAAAGAAGTTGGGATGAAACAAAAACGAATTCAAAATTTAAAATGTATAATTCAACTTGGCCACTTTTATAATAGCATGTTTAATAAAATATTTTTTTACAACATGTTAAATAAAAATATATTAATAATGTAAAAATTCTTTACACCATTATAATGATAAAAGTTAATTCCATAGAAGATATTACCTATATGTATAATTGGTTTTTTAAATAATTTGATTTCATTAAATTATTATTAGTATAAAAAGAATAGATTATTTTATATTATACAAGATCTCTTTCATCAAGTGCAATAAAACATATCTCAGTATAAAGACTAAATTTAATTAAGTGAACCCCTACCCACCCCACTTCCATGTGTCCCCTAGGTCCATCATCACTACATTTTTTATTTCTAAAATTATCTCTTAGTTAAAGCCATATTTTTCCAAGAAGAAGAAGGAGAAGAAATGGAAGGGGAGATCCACAATTTCATAGTGGTATGGACTATTGTTTTAATAAGTTTATGTTATTCTCACACAATTGTCAAATTCTTTCCAAATGGCAAATCAAGATTTGTGGCCATAATTCCAATTGTTTGTCTATTTTTCATTCTTCCTCTTTATCTTACCTCTATCAATCTTGGTGGCACTACTTCTTTCTTCATTGCATGGCTAGCCAATTTCAAGATTCTTCTTTTTGCCTTTGGTAAAGGACCCTTGTCATCAATCCCACCTCTACCACTTTCAACATTCATTCCCTTAGCTTGTTTGCCTATAAAATATCAAAAATATTCAACTAGTGATAATGTTGAAACCACAAAAAAGACCACAAATTCAACTCTCAATCTTGTTACCAAGATTACACTTCTAGCCACTTTGATTAGCGTGTATAATTATAAAGACAATTTACATCCAAAACTCCTTCTCTTTTGTTATTGCCTCCACATTTACTTTTTCCTAGAAATCTTATTAACCATGGTTAGTACTATGGTTCGAGTTGCGAGCCGAGTCGAACTCGAACCACCTTTTGATGAACCTTACAAGACTAGCTCACTTCAGGATTTCTGGGGCAAGAGATGGAACCTCATGGTAACCAATATACTTCGTCCAACTGTTTACGACCCTGTTCGGTCATTGATGTTGGACCGAATCTCGAGGAAGTGGGCCCCACTTCCCGCGGTGCTCGCGACGTTTTTCGTCTCCGGGATAATGCATGAGCTGATTTTTTACTACATTTCAAGAGAGAAGCCTAGTTGGGAAGTCACATGTTTTTTTATTATTCATGGTGTAGCTTTAAGTATTGAAATTATGGTCAAGAAATTGTTAAATGACAAATTTTTGGTCTCTAGGTTTGTTTCAGGTCCATTAGCATTAGGATTTATAATTTTGACAAGTTTTTGGTTGTTTTTTCCACCATTATTGAGGGGTAAGCCAGATGTTAAAGGATGTAATGAATCTATTGCTTTTTTAGAATTTGTTAGGTATGGTAAACTAGTTAGTCCTGACAATATCACTTGTCCATTCATGTAACACTAGTTATAAATTGTTCACATTGAAATAGAACAACCTCAAATTATAGAACCTTTAATTTCAAAATTTTCTCTTTTCAAGAAAAAGCTTTTTTGTTGTGTATAATAAATATTTGATATTCGAAACTTATGATTAATTCGATTAATCCAGATTTATCATGTATAGCCTAATTAAAAGGAAACTGCTCTCTACAAGGGGTTTATTTATTTTTCAAACTTAAATATGAAACCTCCGATTAAAGATAGAGGGATGCAGTGACTCTAGTAAGGGGTCACTAGCTATATCGGAAAATGCACACTCTCAAGACTATGAAGTTTCTTCTCTCTTCACACTTTAAGTGCAATTGCTTTTAAAAAAATTGTAAGCTATGTACCATTTTAATCTTTTCAAAAGTACCAAAAAAATAGGAAATCTCACATGCCATTCAAATTAATTAATTCCATCATACCTCATACAATCATAATTCGTCCACCATAAAATAAATGTTTTCTTATAGAAGTGGACAAGTTATACTGGTAGGATTAATTAATTTACCATACCTAATAAATTCTAAGAAAGCAATAAATTCAGTACATGCTTTAAGCTCTGTATTGCCCCTCAAAAAAGGTGGAAAAAACAACCAAAAACTTGTGAAAATTATAAAACAAAGTGCTAATGGACCAGAAATAATCCTAGGAACCAAAAATTTTCCATTGAAAATTTTCTTGATAACAATTTCAAGACTCAAAGCCACTCCATGAATGAGAAAGAACATCATGACTTCACCATTAGGTTTCAATCTTCCATTGTAGTAGAAAATCAGTTCATGCATTAGCCCCGAGACGAAAAACGTTGCGATCACAGCTGGAAGTGGGGCCCACTTCCTCGAGATCCTGTCTGCCACCATTGAATGTATAGGGTCATATACGGTTGGACGGAGTATATTGGTTACCATGAGGTTCCACCTCTTGCCCCAAAAATCCTGAAGTGAGCTAGCTAGGTAAGGCTCATTGAAGGGTGGCTCGAGCTCGACTCGACTCACCCTTCGGACTGTGGCGCTAACCATGATCAATATGATCTCTAGCATAAAGTAAATGTGGAGGCAATAACAAAATAGAATGATTTTTGGATGCAAATTGTCTTTATAATTATACACCCTTATCAAAATGGCTAAAAGTGCAATCTTGGTAACAAAATTGAAAGTTGAATTTGTAGCCTTTTTTGTGGTTTCAACATTATCACTAGTTGAATTTTTTTGAAACTTTATAGGCAAACAAGCCAAAGGAATGAATGTTGATAGTGGTAGAGATGGGGTTGATGACAAAGGGCCTTTACCAAAGACAAAAAGAAGAATCTTGAAATTGGCTAGCCATGCAATGAAGAAAGAAGTAGTGCAACCAAGATTAATGGAGATGAGATAAAGAGGAAGAATGAAAAATAGACAAATTATTGGAAATATAGCCACAAATCTTGATTTGCCTTTGGGGATGAATTTGGCTATGGTGTGAGAATAACATAAACTTGCTAAGACAATAGTCCATACAACAATGAAATTGTGAATTTCCCCTTCCATTTTTCTCTTTCTTCTTCTTCTTCTTGAAAGATAAATGGAATTTAAAGATGTCTATATTATTATTTCTAATAAGAAAAAGTCATATTATATGAGTCATTATACAATATGATTGTTGACTTAGGGAACATGTGGAAGTGGGTTTGGGGAGAAATGAAATAATTAAGAAGTTGTCATCTAAGATATGTTTGGCAATTAAGGGAAGATATTTAATTTGCACATGATCTATGGGATCTTTTCTTTTTTGGAAAGAGTTTAAATTTTTTTTTATATTTATCACATGGTCAACAGGTCAAGGGAGTCTAGTGATTTGTGAAGAGCTAAGTAACTTCTGACAGTATAATAACGGTAATATCTACTCGCATTGAACATTTATATCAAATAAATAGATATACAGTCAAATGTAGTTATAATAATATTATTTATCTGAAAAATTTCAAGACTGACATTTGATGTTTAGATCTTATTTATTTGTTACTCCCTTCGTTTACTTTTATTTGTCATGTTGTGTTTTTCGAAAGTCAATTTGATTAATTTTCAAATTTAAATTAGATTACATTAATTCAATATTTTTTTTTTTAAAAAAATAAATATTCATAAACTATACAAAAAGTACTATACATTGCAATTTTTTGCATATCAATATGATGAAAAAATATATCGTAAAGTGTTAGTCAAAAAATTTATAGTTTGACTCTAAAAATGAAAAGTATGACAATTAATAGTGGACGGAGGTAATATATATAAACAAAAAGTACACAAAAAGATTAGTTTAATAATTTTGTGTTCTAAGAAGTAAGAAGAAAGAACGTACTCCCTCCGTCTCAATTTATGTGACACTTTTCAAATTTCAAAATTTAAATAAGTCTATTTTTAACTCTCGATGGGGAAATGCTCTCAAGAATATGAAAATTCTTCTTCCGATAGACTTAAGCGACGTTGCTTTTGATTAAAGACGGTAAGCAAAGCTACCTTTAAAATCTTTTCCAAAATACCAAAAAAAAAATGCATTAAAATTAATTGTATCATAAATCATACAAACCTTAGTACACCATGAAAAAAATAGTCTTACAGAAATGAACATGTGATATTGGTAGGACTAATTAATTGACCATACCTAATAAATTTAAAGAAAGCAATATATTCAGTACATAATTTAAACTCTGTATTACTCCTCAAAAAAGGAGGTAAAAAGAACCAAAAACTTGTGAAAATAATAAATGCTAGTGCTAATGGACCTGAAATAATCCTAGGAACCAAAATTTTGCCATTGAACATTTTCTTGATAATAATTTCAACGCTCAAAGCGACTCCATGAATTAAAAAGAATATCATGGCTTCACCGCTAGGCTTCAATCTTTCAATAATGTAGTACAAAAGTAGCTCATGCACTAGCCCCGAGACGATAAACGTGGCGAGCACAGCTGGAATTGGGGCCCACTTCCTCGGGATCCGGTCCACCACAAACAAATGGACGGGGTCATAGACAGTCAAACGGAGAATATTAGATACCATTAGGTTCCACCTCCTGCCCCAGAAATCCTGGAGCGAGCTAGTTAGATACGGCTCATTGAAGGGTGGGTCGAGGTCGACTCGACTCACCCCTCGAACCGCGGCACTAACCATATTCAATATGATCTCTAACATGATGTAAATGTTAATACAATAACAAAAGAGAATGAATTTTGGATGTAAATTGTCTTTATAATTATACAGCCTTACTAAAATGGCTAGAAGTGTAACCTTGGTAACAAGATTGAAAGTTGAATTTGTAGCCTTTTTGATGGTTTCAACATCTTTAGTTTTTGATGATTTTTTCAACTTAATAGGCAAACAAGCCAAGGGAATGAATGTTGAAAGTGGTAAAGGTGGGGTTGATGACAAAGGGCCTTTACCAAAAGCAAAAAGTATGAGTTTGAAAGTGGCTAGTCCTGTAATGAAGAAGAAAGTAGTAGCACCAAGATTAATTGAGGTGAGATAAAGAGGAAGAATGAAAAATAGACAAACTATTGGAAATATAGCCACAAATCTTGATTTGCCTTGGGGAATGAATTTGACTATGGTGTGAGAATAACATAAACTTGCTAAGACAATAGTCCATACAACAATGAAATTGTGAATTTCCCCTTCCATTTCTCTCTTTATTCTTCTTCTTGAAACATGAATGGAATTTAAAGATATGATTATTGACTTAGGGAACATGTCACATGTGAAAGTGGGGTCGGGGAGAAATAGAGTATTTCAAATGTAATAAGTACTAGCATGGATGACCGTGCAAGCACGGGCCGATATAAGTAGGCTAAATGTGCACATGAAATATATATATGATGTTTAAATCTTATTTAGTGGTTATAAGAAAAAGTACGGAAAAAGCAGTGTAATGCTTTTTTGCAACAAATAGAACAAATATATTTGCAAACCAATTTTAGAAAGAAAAAAAATTTAGAAGGAGCTAGTATGAACGTCAAAAAGGCAAACACCAATAGCTTTATTTAAACCTAATAACAACGTGTTGTGATTATCGAACAATGTTTAATGAAGAAAATCTCATGGTCGATCGTTATTAAGAATGAGGACATCCAACGGCATCGTCTTAGTACTATTATTGAAGATTTTCTATATTTAATTTGTTAAATGTCATAAAGACCTTTATTAAATCAATTCGGGGAATGGTAAGAAAATATGTCATCTTTCTAGAAACGAAATGCACAAACATGATAAAGATTTAATGATATCAATCAAGAAATGTTCTTAAGGATATGATTTTTCTATCCTTATTATTTTTAATTAAAGCGATGTTTTTTTGTTTGAAAGACAATAAGCTAAGCTAACCTTTTGAGTCTTTTTTTAAAAAAAAATATAGAAAATTTCACGTTGCACTCAAAGTAATTTATTTTTATCATAACACATGCTTAGAAAATATTCTTACAGGAGTGAACATGTGATATTGGTAGGACTAATTAATTGACCATACCTAATAAATTTAAAGAAAGCAATATATTCATTACATAATTTAAGCTCCGTATTACCCCTCAAAAAAGGAGGAAAAAACAACCAAAAACTTGTGAAAATAATAAATGCTAGTGCTAATGGACCTGAAATAATCCTAGGAACCAAAAATTTGCCATTGATCATTTTCTTGATAACGATTTCAACACTCAATGCGACTCCATGAATTAGAAAGAATATCATGGCTTCACCACTAGGCTTCAATCTTCCAATGTAGTAGAAAAACAGCTCATGCATTAGCCCCGAGACGAAAAACGTGGCGAGCACAGCTGGAATTGGGGCCCACTTCCTCGGGATCCGGTCCTTAATAACCAAACGAACATGATCATAGACGGTTAGACGGAGTATATTAGTTACCATGAGGTTCCACCTCTTACCCCAGAAATCCTGAAGCGAGCTAGCCAGGTGAGGATTGTTGATGGCTGGCTCGAGCTCAACTCGACTCACCACTCGAACCGCGATGCTAACTATATTCAACATGATCTCTAACATGAAGTAAAGGTGGAGGCAATAACAAAAGAGAATGAATTTTGGGTGTAAATTTTCTTTATGATTATACACCCTTATCAAAATGGCTAAAAGTGCAATCTTTGTAACAAGATTGAAAGTTGAACTTATGGTCCTTTTTTTGGTTTCAACATTATCACTAGTAGAATATTTTTTCAACTTTATAGGCAAACAAGCCAAGGGAATGAATGTTGAAAGTGGTAGAGGTGGGGTTGATGACAAAGGGCCTTTACCAAAAGCAAAAAGAATGAGCTTGAAAGTGGCTAGTCCTGTAATGAAGAAAGAAGTAGTAGCACCAAGATTAATTGAGGTGAGATAAAGAGGAAGAATGAAAAATAGACAAACAATTGGAAATATTGCCACAAATCTTGATTTGCCTTTTGGAATAAACTTGGCTATGGTGTGAGAATAACATAAACTTGCTAAGACAATAACCCATACAACAATAAAATTGTGGATCTGCCCTTCCATTTCTATGTTTCTTCTTGATCTTCTTCTTCTTGGTTTTTTAATTCATTTCATAAAAAGCATAAACTATATTGGAAGTAAGGTTGTGTAGAAATGGAATATTTCGCATAAAACAATTAAGTAGTTGTCATGATGCCATCTAAGACATGCTTATAATAATTATATAAGAGAAGATCTTTTGCACATCATCAAGCAGATCTAGTTTTTTGGAGTTCTACTCCTTTTTGTATTTTAGCATGCCTTTGTAATATTGGAAAACTACCAAATTATACAAATATTTCTATCATATTTTTTTCAAATTTTCCCTATAATTTAAAATAATATATTGTCTCACTAATTAATAATTACATACCATATTTCAAATCAGAAACATTTAGATACATGTATTTTTGCCACCAGATACACTAAACTAGGGAGAGTGGCAAGCGAGAAAAGGAGAGAGGTGAGCGAGATAGGAGAGAGGAGAGTGAGATCCCCATATACATGTGAATTACACCAAATAGATGTATTTGGGTATATCAGATTCAGGGAGAGAGGAGAGTGGAAAGTGGGATAGGAGAGAGAGGCGAGCGAGAAAGTCAGAACATGTGAATCCACTTGAATACAATATTGTATCTATAACAAATTACACCTAATTTTGATCACGTGTATCTAAGATACATGTATCTTGATGTATCTGAACGCACCAAATACATATATCCGAAGTCCAAAATCTGATAAGGAACGTAATATTACAAACTAGCGCGAATCTAAATAATTAGATCCTAAAGTAATGAAATTTATGTTGGTTTACCCATTACATATCAGTTCTACAATTAGCCCCTTTAGCCTTAGCCCATATATCACATCCGGCCCAAAACAAAATACCCCACAGCCCACATAAGGAGCCCAATTGTCTTTTAACTTCTGAAAAGAAGCCCAAAAACCAATTCTCATTGCTCTCCTGCTGCTCCGCCGCCGCCGCCGCCGCCCGCCGTCGTTCGATTTTCCTAGCTCAAGGTATTTGAAACCTAACTGATGTATAAATATATGTATAATTCATGTATAATCTATGAATACCGGCTAGAAAAGATAGATAGTAAGTTATTTTGGCTGTTATAGTTAAGAGGTTCTTGTGTTCTTTAGCATGAATAAGCTGATATTCTTGTAATTGCTTCCTGTTGGTGAAAATACAGTTATAGTTGAAAAAATAGAAATAAAAATAACAATTTCTTTAGGCTGAAGAGCAGATATCTCGTTTTTTTTATATTCAAGCCACTAAGATAAAATACTCACTGGTCCAACAGTAATACTCTTGACTTGTTCCCTATACGATAAAATATCTCGACAATGTTGTATGAGTTGAATAAACTCTAGACTAGTTGTTGAGTCTAATGTTCCATCAATAAGAACACATTCCTTTTTAGATGGCTCCTTGCACTTATATTTCATTGGATTAGCCTTAGCGTTGATCATGATTAAATTCGGCTTTAGTTTTCACTATTTTTTGTATAGCTAAGGTGCTTCAGTAGTCTTCTAAGATAAAAAGTATGCTCCTTTTTTTTTAGAGTGTAATTTAAGTGAATGCACCTTGAATTTCAAGATTTGGAATACTTTCTACGAAAACTGTGGTCATCATCTGGTGCTCCCAGTAGTCTGTTGAAGTATTTATATATGAACCAAAGATCGAAAAGCATTGCCTCTGACCTGTGCTGCTCGGACTCTTCAAAAATGTTGTCCAGTGCGTCTCGGATCCTCCAACAGTAGTACATTTTTGAAGGATTTGGCAGGGGTGCCTCAACATTTTTGGGAAGTCCGAGCAATATAGCCTTCGATTAGTTGAACATTCATAGTTGTTCATCCTTTGGTCGTTTAAAATATTGGACTGTATTGTTAAGGTCCTTCCTGATTTGACTGCTTTCTTATAGTAGTACAGTAATGATTTGTTCTTAAGAGAAGCACTAATCAGGAGAAACATGTATAAGGTTAAAGAAGTTTGCTTTCTTACTTATTTGATAGCTCTTATCTCACTTCTTAATTCTTATGATGGTTCCTCTTTTTTCTCTTTCTTTTGTCTGATATATCCATAAATTTCAAAAAAAAATCCCGAGTTCCGAAGATTTGGTAATTATTTTTCAAATGATATCCTTTCTGTGAACAGTCAATGGAACATGGTTCATTTGAAGATCAATCTAAAGCAACGTTCTCGTTGACAGATGAGGACCATACGCTGGCAAATGCTGTCAGATTCACTCTAAATCAAGAGTTAGTAGTTCACCTCTTCATTGCTTTTTTCATTATGCAGTAATCACTGCTAATACTTTCAGTGTTCGCTTTATTTTCTCATACAAATTACAGTACATATTACAGAATTTTGTTTGAAGTTTAGTGTCTGGTAAAATAGAGGGCCTGGGTATCTCATTTTGTAACATTCCTCTGATCTCATGTTAATCTTGCTTTTGCATGTTCAGTCTTCAAGCCCCCCATCTCACCCCCTTTTTTTAAGCAGCGTTTTTGTGCAACAAGCTTAAGAAGATATGATTAACTGATATCCACTTTCTTGCAGTCCACGAGTGACATTTTGTGGATACAGCATTCCACATCCTTCCGATGCACGAGTGAACATAAGAGTTCAGACTACTGGTAAAGCTAAAAACTTTCACCAACTTATCTTTATCAATGATTTCTCTAACTCATAAAAGAAAAGCTTAAATATTTATCTAGCAATAGCAATGCAGGGGTGATTCGTGTACTGGATTTTCTGTTCTTTTATAAACTTTTCTTAAAATCTGATGTTCAAATTGGTATCCTGCTTCCACATACTTTATACTTGCTACCTAATTGCAAATTTTCTCCTCTATCTATAATTTTTTCCAACTTGTATGATACGAACATTGTAGTCCTCTTTATTTATTATTCCGCCCAAGTGGACTATTCTCTCCTTATGGAGTCTAAGAAAACAGAGATATCCTTGCACGGTATTTCCAGTTAAGAAGATATCTCATTTATATTTTTTTTTGTTCTGATGTACACAAACAACCAAACATAATTCCTAGAAGCCCATTCCACTAGAGAGTTAATGTGTAGCAATGTTTCTCCATATGAAGTTTTCCTTTTTGATATTTTCGATTAGAAGGAACAATATAAAGCTATTTTATTTTTCAATTAGAGATTGCTACAGCATGCATAATCTGTGTACTGATACGACCGCCTGGAAATAGCAATTCGCAATTGTCTTTTTTTTTTTCAATGCTTCCATCTGTTTATACATTCTTCTGTGAAATGTTGTGGACCTCTGTTTGAGTTTTGGTATATCTGGCTTCTATTGCAGGAGATCCAGCAAGGGAGGTATTGAACGATTCATGTCAGGATCTAATGCTTATCTGCGAGAACGTTAGAGACACATTTGACAAGGCTATCTTAAAGTTTAAAACTGAAGGAGGTCTGAGCTCTATGGATATCAAGAAATAATCGACAAGAAGTTCATATAACCATCTATCCAAGTGAAATCTTGTAACCTTATTTGCACAAAAGTTGCTTTTGTTAGAACCATTTTTCCCCATAGGCCATATATATGTTACATCAGATTGTTAGCTATAATGCTTATGTTTTAGTTGTACACTGTCATCTGCCGATTTGGTGATCTCCATGACGATGACAGTGCAAATTTTGGCTAGTCGGCTCACATATACGAAGAATGTACCCTTGGGTTGTGCAGAAATATTGATCTGCATGTCTTAATGCACTGTGCTTCCTTTTACATTGGGTTAGGATGGATTACTAATACAATCCTATGCAGATTGTTGTGAACTATAACTCTATGTTCTACTTTATATGGTACTGAATCATATGGTTATTTTATCAGCTTGTCTTAGCGTAAAAGTTGTCTATTCGTACTTTCTTTTTATTGGCTCTCTCTCTCATATTATCTTAGCTCGCGCGTTATGAACTCCAGCCATAGTAACCATACAAATGAAATGAGCCTACTAATCGATCTTTCTCTTGGTTTACATCCCTTTGTTTTGGATTTGCTTTTGCTTTAGTTCTTGTCGTAGAACGACCTTCTGTTCTACTTTGCATCTTTTCCATTTAGGACTGATGCATAATTATTTTCCACTTGACTAGTTTTTAACAATATTGCTAAACCAAGAAAACAAACCACAAGATTCTGGTCAATACCTTATTATTTCATTGAAAATGAAGAAACCACTCACATTGCTATTGCTCTTGCTATTGCAGTATATATGTACAACTGAGATTATAAATATACACCAACAGAATTTCGAATTCACGCCTGTACTAAGGAAAAAGCCTGGTTCTTGCACTCATTGAGCTGACGCTTCTTACATATCCTTGAGCAATATCAGAACTTCAAATCATTCCAAACTCGTGTTTGGCTCATTGCTAAGATCTGGAAGATGTTCAGCCGAAGTACATTACAGTGTTTCTCCTATAATGTCCGTCTTCTCGAGGAAGATGAATGAATAAAAAACATTTCATATTTAAGATGCATTAGCCAAAACAAGGATTCGTTTGATTGAGTTTTTTGTGTGTGAGGCCTTGAAAAGATATGTTGAGTAGCCTGCAAGATTGTTCTACCATCAGTTTATAGGTAGAAGGATGCTTCCAGGCTATAAACGAGAACTGGTCTCCATATCGTTCCATTCCTTCCACTAATAACTGCCATACTAAGGCTCCTGCACCAGCTTTCTTCTTCTTTGCTGACTCGTAAATCTTGTCATAAACTATTTTCAGAAAAATATTTCTGTCGTATAATCCATTCTTTTGTATACTCGAAGGAAAACCAACTTCTGTGAAGAGAACAGGCTTCTTAAGGATTTTTTCAGCTTCACTAATGTGAGAATCAACCCAATGAGATAGAAAATCTACTCTCGCGTCTGAATTTATACCACCTTTGATCCTGCAAGTAAACATTTTTTTTAACATAATCGAGAAAGGCAGTGATAAACACATACGAGCTTAAATTCTACATATGCTACTATAAAAATATATCTGATTTGGAATAAATTTACTCTGCTT